GTCACCTTGGTGGCTCCTTGGGGACATCCCGGTGTCACCTCGGTGGCCCTGGGGACATCCTGGTGTCACCTCGGTGGCTCCTTGGGGACATCCCGTGTCACCTCGGTGGCTCCTTGGGGACATCCCGGTGTCACCCTGGTGGCCTTGGGGACATCCCGTGTCATCCTGGTGGCCCTGGGGACATCCTGGTGTCACCTCGGTGGCCCTTGGGGACATCCCGGTGTCACCGTGGTGGCTTTTTGGGGACACCGTCCCACGGCCACCACGATGACCCTTGAGAACATCTCACGGTCACCGTGGCAGCTTTTTGGGGACACCGCGTTGTCACCAAGGCGGCTCTTCATGGACACCCCGTTGTCACCAAGATGGTTCTTTATGGACACGTCATTGTCACCTCGGTGGCTTTTTGGTGACACCGTCCCATTGTCACCACATGGCCCTTGGGGACATCTCATGGTCACCATGATGGCCCTTGGGAACATCTCAATGTCACTGTGGTGGCTTTTTGGTGACACCATCCCATTGCCACCACTTGAACTTTGAGAACATCTCACGGTCACCACGGTGGATTTTTGGGGTCACCGCGTTGTCACCGTGGTGGCCCCTGGAGACACCACCCCATTGCCACCACAAGGCCACCCTGCTGTCTCCGTGGTCCCTCCCGGTGACATTCTGGTGACATTCCAACGATGTTGCGGTGATGTTCTGGTGACGTTCTGGTGACATTCCAGTGACGTTCTGGTGACACTCCAGTGACGTTCTGGTGACGTTCTGGTGTCACCCGGCCGTCTCCGCCGGTTCCTCCCTCCGCCGCCGCTCCTCCTCCGCGTCCATGTCGGCGAAGCGCCGCTGCAGCTCCGGTGGGATCGGCACCTCCAGCAGGTTCTCCATGGCCGCCTCCGGCTCCTCCCCGATCAGCACCTGCGGGACGCCGGGAACGTGCCGGGAACGTGCCGGGAACGTGCCAGAACTGCCTGGAGAATGTTCTGGAACCACACTGGGAACGTGCCGGAACCGTCCTGGAAATGCTGGAACCGCCCCGGGAATGCCGGAACTGCACCGGCAACACCGGAACTGCTCCAATGGCTCCAGAACCACCCCGGGAACACCGGAACCGTGCCGGCAACACCGGAACCACCCCAACAGCTCCAGAACTACCCCGGGAACGCCGGAACCATGCCGGCAGCACCGGAACCGCCCCAATGGCTCCGGAACCGCCCCAGGAACACCGGAACCGTGCCGGCAACACCGGAACCGCCCCAACAGCTCCAGAACCACCCTGATGGCTCCAGAACCACCCCAGGAACACCGGAACTGCACCGGCAACACCGGAACCGCCCCAATGGCTCCGGAACCACCCCGGGAATGCCGGAACCGCGCCGGCAACACCGGAACCACCCCGACAGCTCCAGAACCACCCCAGGAATGCCGGAACCGCGCCGGCAACACCGGAACCGCTCCAATGGCTCCAGAACCACCCCGGGAATGCCGGAACTGCACCGACAGCACCGGAACCGCTCCAACGGCTCTGGAACCGCCCCAGGAACACCGGAACCGTGCCGGCAGCACCGGAACCGCCCCGATGGCTCCGGAACCACCCCGGGAATGCCGGAACCGTGCCGGCAACACCGGAACCGCTCCAATGGCTCTGGAACCACCCCGGGAATGCCGGAACTTCACCGGCAACACCAGAACTGCCCAATGGCTCCAGAACCGCCCCAGGAACACCGGAACTGTGCCGGCAGCACCGGAACTGCCCCGATGGCTCCGGAACCACCCCAGGAATGCCGGAATCATGCCGGCAGCACCGGAACCGCTCCAATGGCTCCAGAACCACCCCAGGAACACCGGAACCGTGCCGGCAACACCGGAACTGCTCCAACACCTCCAGAACCGCCCCAGGAACGCCGGAACTGTGCCGGCAGCACCGGAACCGCCCCGATGGCTCCGGAAGCGTCCCGGGAGCGCCGGATCGGCGCCGGCGCCGCGGCTGACCTGGATCAGGTTGTGGCAGGCGCCGAGCACCGCGGGGTCCCGCTCCCGGCCGTGCAGCTCCCGCAGCACCAGGTAGGAACCGCGGCGCCGCAGCTGCTCCCGCCCCGCCTTGGTGGCCGCCAGCTGCTCGGGGGAAACAAAATCGGGAATTTTTTGGGGATTCGCGGCTCCCCGTTGGGTGTGGGAAGCCAAAATTCCTCAAAGAACCCAAAAATTCTTGGCTTGGCGGCGAAATTTGGGGTCGAAAGGTGGAAATTGGTGGTGGAACATCGAGAAGTTCTCACAGAAGTTCGAAATGTCCGCGAGGAAACTCAAAATTGCTGATGGGACGCCCAAAAAACTCAAGGAAAGCCAAAAATTCCTCAGGGAACCCCAAAATTCCTCGAGGAAACTCAAAAATCCCCAGGGAACCCCCAAATTTCTCAAGGAAACCCAAAAATCTCAAGGAAACCCAAAAATCCTCAAGGAAACCAAAAAAATCCTCAAGAAACCCCCAAAATTTCTCAAGGAAACCCAAAAATCCACAAGGAAACCCCAAAATTCCGCAAGAAAACCCAAAAAATCCTCAAGGAACCCCAAAATTCCACAAGGAATCCCAAAAATCCTCAGGGAACCCTAAAATTCCTCAAGGAAACTCCTAATTCCTCAAGGAAACCCAAAATTCCTCGAGGAAACCCAAAAATCCACGAAGAAACCCAAAATTCCTCAAGAAAACCCAAAATTCCTCATGGAACCCAAAAATCCTCAGGGAACCCCCAACATTCCTCAAGGAACCCAAAACATTCCTCATGGAACCCCCCAAAATCCTCAGGAACCCCCAAAATTCCCATAAGAACTCCAAAATTCCTCAGGAACCCCCAAAATTCCTCAGGAACCCCCAAAATTCCTCAGGAACCGCAGAAATTCCTCATGGAACCGCAAAAATCCTCAAGGAACCCCCAAAATTCCTCACCAAACCCCTCAAATTCCTGAAGGAACCCCAAAATTCCCCATGGAACCCAAAAAATTTCTCATGGGACCCCCAATATTCCTCTAAGAACCCCAAAATTCCTCCTCAAACCCCCCAAATTACTCAAGGAACTCCCAAAATTCCTAAAGGAACTCCCAAAAAACTCCAAAATTCCTCATGGAACCCCCCAGATTCCTCAAGGAAACCCAAAATTTCTCAACAAACCCCCAAAATTCCTCAAGGATCCCCAAAATTCCTCATGGAATCCCCAAAATCCTCATGGAACCCCCAAAATTCCTCAAGGAACTGCAAAAATTCCTCAAGGAGCCCCAAAAATCCTCAAGAAAGCCCAAAATTCCTCATGGAACCCCCAAAATTTCTTGAGGAACTGCAAAAATTCCTCAAGGAACCCCCAAAATTCCTAAGGAACCCAAAAAATTTCTCATGGGAACCTCAAAATTCCTCATGGAACCCCCAATATTCCTCTAAGAACCCCAAAATTCCTCATCAAACCCCAAAAATTCTTCAAGGACCCCCAAAATTGCTCATGGAACTGCCAAAATTGCTCTAAGAACTCCAAAATTTCTCATGGGACCCCAAAATTCCTCATCAAACCCCAGAAATTCCTCAAGGAACTCCCAAAAACCCCAAAATTCCTCCTCAAAACCCCCAAATTCCTCAAGGAACTCCCAAAATTCCTCAAGGAACTCTCAAAAATCCCAAAATTCCTCACGGAACCCCAAAATTCCTCACAGAACCCGCAGATTACTCAAGGAACTCCCAAAATTACTCATGGAACCCCCAATAGTCTTCTAAGAACCCCAAAATTCCTCCTCAAACCCCCAAAATTCCTCAAGGATCCCCAAAATTTCTCATGGAACTCCCAAAATCCTCAGGAACCCCCAAAATTCCTCAAGGAGCCCCAAAAATCCTCAAGAAAGCCCAAAAATCCTCCTGGAACTCCCAAAAACCCCAGAATTCCTCCTCAAACCCCCCAAATTCCTCAAGGAACTCCCAAAATTCCTCAAGGAACTCCCCAAAACCCCAAAATTCCTCAAGGAACCCCCCAAAATTCCTGAAGGAACCCCAAAATCCAGCACCAGCATCAGCGTCTCCAGCAGCATCTTGCGGATCTCCGGCTCCTCCTCCGGCCGGTGCTCCGGGGGGAGGTACTGCAGATCCACGGGGAGCTCTGGAAGGGGGAAAACCGCCGGGAATATTCCGGGAATTCCCGAAAATTCCCAAAAAAACCCCCCGGAAAGGCCACTCACGCTCCATCTCCTCCTCGGGGAGCTCCTCGGGGCCGGCCAGCGGCAGCAGCAGCAGCGGGAGCGCGTCCAGCTCGGGGCTCAGCAGCCGCTCGTGGTTCTCTGGGAATTCCGCGGGAATTCCACGGGAATCCTCCGGGAATCCTCCGGGAATCTCATCCCGACATCCCGAAGATCCCCCCCAAAATTCGGATTTTTCTTCCCCCCCATTTCTGCTTTATCCTGGCTCCGCCCTCCCGGAATTTTGGGAATTCTTTGGGTTCTCCCGTCCCACAGCCGCAGGGATGGGAATTCCAGCCGGGAATTCCATGAATTCCAGGGGAACATTCCCAAAAATTCCCAACCCGAGGCTGTTCCCTCTTCTCCCATCCAGGATCCCAAAAAATTCCAGGATTTTTAAGAGGATTCCAAGGAATTCCAGGATTTTAGTCAGAATTCCATGATATTCCAGGATTTTAGTCAGAATTACATGATATTCCAGGATTTTAGTCGGGATTCCATGGAATTCCAAGATTTTTATTAGGATTCTCTGGAATTCCAGGATTTTTAGGAGGATTCTCTGGAATTCCAGGATTTTAGTTGGAATTCCAAGGAAACTCCAGGATTTTAGTTGGGATTTTAATGAAATTCCAATATTTTAGTCAGGATTCCAAGGAAATTCCAGGATTTTTAACAAGATTCCAAGGAATTCCAGGATTTTAGTTGGGATTCCACGAGATTCCAAGATTTTTAACCACAAACCCAAAAAATTCTCAAAAAATCCCTCCAAAATCCCAAAATATTCCGAAAAAACCCCCCCAAAAAAACCCCCAAAAATCCCCCAAAACCACAAACCCCAAAATTCTCTAAATATTTTCAAAAAATACCCCCCAAAAATCACAAAATATTCACAAAAATCATAAAATAATCACCAAAAAATCCCAAAATACTCAAAACAACCCCAAAATATTCTGAAAAAAAACCCAAAAAGCCCCAAAAATCCCCAAACCCCCAAATTCTCTAAATATTCTCAAAAAATACCCCCGAAAAATCAGAAAATATTCACAAAAATCGATAAAATAATCACAAAAAATCCCAAAAAATGCACAAAAAATCCCCTGAAAAATCTCGAAAAAAACCTCAAAGCCACACAAAACCCCCCCCAAAAAATTCCTTAAAAAATCCCTAAAGAATGTAGGAAAAGCCCCAGAATTGTGGATTTTTACCGTGCTGGAAGCAGCAGTTCCTGAGCGCTCCCGCGGCTCCTCTGCGCAGCGCCGCCGAGGCCGGGCTCCTCAGCAGCGCCAGGAGCCGCCGCAGCGCCCGCCTGCAAACACCAAAACCACCCCAAATCACCCCAAAATCCTTAAAAATAATAATGAAAAAAACAACCCCAAAAAAATCACCCCAAAATCACCCCAAAATCACCCAAAAAATCCTTAAAAATCACCAAAAAACTCCCCAAAAACTCACCAAAAAATCACCAAAACATTACCCCAAAATCCATAAAAATCCCCCCCAAAAACCCTCCAAAAATCACCCAAAAATCCTCAAAAAAAAGTATATTAATTATATTATATTATATTATATTATATTATATTATATTATATTATATTATATTATATTATATTATATTATATTAATTACATTATATTATACATATCACATTACATTACATAATATTATATTAATTAGATATTATATAATTTTGGTGTTCCATTCAATATTGCAGCTCTGCAGCAGGGCCAGGAGCCGCCCCAGTGCCCGCCTGGAAACACCAAAACACCCCAAAATCCCCCCAAAATCCCCATAAAATCCCCATAAATCCCCCCAAAACCCCGGTTTATCTCACCCCGATGGCTCCAGCAGCACTTCCCGTCCCTCCGGGGCCCGGCTGAGGTTGCAGAGCAGCGCCCCCGAACCCCAAAATCCCCATAAATCCCCCCAAAACCCCCATAAATCCCCCAAAACCCCCAAAATCCCCCCAAAACCCCGTTTATCTCACCCCGATGGTTCCAGCAGCGCTGCCCGTCCCTCCGGGGCCCGGCTGAGGTTGCAGAGCAGCGCCCCAAACCCCAAAATCCCCATAAATCCCCCAAAACCCCGTTTATCTCACCCCGAGGGCTCCAGCAGCGCTGCCCGTCCCTCCGGGGCCCGGCTGAGGTTGCAGAGCAGCGCCCCCGAACCCCAAAATCCCCCCAAAACCCCCATAAATCCCCCCAAAACCCCCATAAATCCCCCCAAAACCCCCATAAATCTCACCCCGAGGGCTCCAGCAGCGCTGCCCGTCCCTCCGGGGCCCGGCTGAGGTTGCAGAGCAGCGCCCCCGAACCCCAAAATCCCCCCAAA